TCAAGTCATAACGTAAAAAGGCATTGCTGAGGGAATTAACTAATTGCCAGTTTGCCAACTGTCGAGTTCATCTGTTTTTTGCATGAGAGGGTACACAGTGTGCACATTTACACTGTCCTGTCGAAAACTGACAGAAGGTGGTTGAAAGGCTGGGAAAATACTAAAAACTGAGTTATGTCCTTATTTACTTTGGCACAACTTTTCCAAAATACAAATGTTAAATTTGAAACCCCATGTGAGGGTTTTCCAATAGTGCCTACTCCAAGGGTGTCCAGCTCCGGTCCTGGATGGCCGCTGTCCTGCAGCTTTTTTCGTCTTCTCTGCTTCAACACACCTGACTCTGCTTAAGTGGATCAGTTAAAAGCTCTGCACAAGCCTGACAATGGCACGCTGGCACGAATCAGCTGGTATATACTGTCGCCACCATGTCCAAGAACTGACACATGAAAATTGAAGGCCGCTTAACGCACCAAAGAGAAGATTTGTTCAGAAAACAGGAAGTAGAATGTGAATATAAAAGTAGGAAGGTCCAAACATCAGGACTTAGCACCGCGGCTCTGCAAGGTGCTGAATCTGCAGCAGAAAGAAATTATGAGACTTTCCAGTATACTGTCAGTAGGAAAAAAACTCCATTCCATTCCCTTTACTCAATTTACTAATTTCCTTAATGCTGTATGTACATCATATATTCTTGTCTCTTCATGGATCCAGTGACCTACTCTTCACGATAGCTCTGCTATCCAAGTGAACTGAATAACTTGCAGAGGCCATCCACACTCTCCCTTAGTCTCTACAGAGAAACTAGCTGCTTGCTGTAATAGCACAAAGAAAAATGATGGATGTGGTTACTTCTTTATCACCAAAGACCATCCATCCCACATCCCAATTAACTGCCTTTGCAAAACAAAGTAGCAACACACCACTGAATGGAACTGAAAGAGTCCAGCTATAGGAATCCATTCAGAGTGAAAAGTTTTTTTAGAACTTTATCTACCCAATTTAGTCTAGCACCCAATAAATGATCATATATAATGCACATACACATGGACCTGTTTTCTACTGGTGCAGGACTCGTGCTTGTCCATGGCCGCGCAGCGTTTGCACTGACTGAGCAAGGATGCTGCGTCGCCTCATGATAAAGCTGCAACATTTTGCAAATACATGACGCCCAGTCCCTCATCTGATGCCCTATATCTTCCTTAACCTCTTCCCTTTTCTTCTGCGTCAACTGTACTTTCTCTAACTCTCCTCCAGAACTCAGAGCGCTCCTCCAGGGTGGATCATGTGAGAGGTAGAGGCATTCCCTTTTTAGTGACTGGTACCGCCATCCATCTCTGAAGAATTCCCCAGTGGAGAGCTCAGAGGAGAACACAAACAAAGTAGGGAACAGTCAGGCAGGGACAGTTACAAAGAGAGGACCTAATTGCTGGATAACTAAGGGATAGAGTATCGAGGCTAACATGATCACACAGAAATATATTAAATTAATACTTCTTTAACAATATATTTCTGTGAGTTATTTATACTTAATAATATATACTAAATATTGACTGGCAACCAACATTAGAACTTGCTTTATGTGTGTGTCTAAGTTTATGGAGGGATGCCGACAGTATAGAAAATATGTTTGTCTAATTTTTAATCATTCAATCTCAGTGTATCACTTTTTTAAATGGGGGTGTGCTCATTTATCCTCGGTCAGCAAAGTTTTACTTCCCGTTACTTTCCTCTGTTACCTGCAGTGAGTTTGGCCAAAGCTGGTCTTGGGTTTCCGAGTGCGGCCCAATTATGTCTGCTTGCCTCAGTCAGATTGTCTATACCTGGCTGCACATGTGTGTTAGTGGGGCTGTGTAGAGTGGCTACATTGCACAAGGGAAGGTGTGTGTGTGTGTGTGTTTTGAACAGATTCATTTCTTGGTGTGTGTGTCGCTTAGACTGCATAACCATGTGAACCATCCCTTTTCAACACACACTGCAATGCCTCCACCCACATCCCCACCCTCGGTCCGCACATCACTCCTCCCTCCCTCCCTCTACGCTGCCATCTCTCTACCCTGGAGGCTTTTCCAGAGCACACAGCTAATAAAGTGGGCCAGATCTGTGGCTGAGCACTATTTTTTATCAGAAAGCAATTTTCAGGTAGTGCCCACAGGTAAGAGGGTCCCAGCTGCCTCAGACAATGGAGCCATGACAAGGAGTTTCCCTCCTCCATTAACCTCTGCTGAGTTACTCCACCTCGGCCCAGCTCACCACGAGCACTGCCCAGCCTCCACATAGACCTCGCAGGTCCTACAAACGACTGTTCCTCTGTCCTGCAATGGTATAGAGCATCTTTTTTTTCTTCTTTTGTTTGCATGTGACTACTTTTCCTGACATAAATTTCTCCTCACCTTTGTTTGTCCTTGTGTTTTGTTTCTTTCTGCTCACCAAGTCAAGCTCTGTTTTTGCTTCACCCTGCAAGTGCAAAACTTTTGGTTTAGTAAATGAAGTTAAATTCTTCCCTCTTCTCCTGCCTCATGCATCTAATTTATTTTCAGTCACAATAAGCCTTTTCCTTACAAGAAATATTGAATAAAAGGTTAATTAAACTCCACCCCTAAGTTAAAAGAAAATATTTTACGTGTGTGTGTATTAAATTTTGGACATCTGTTCAACTGTCACCTGTGGGTGTCTTTTTTCTATTACTCTTACAATTTGCATCCACCTGAGACAGCTGTTGGTTCTTTGGCACGCTGACAACTGTGAGCATTAAAATGGATGACATCAACCAAATCGCAAAAATCAAATGCCATGTGCAGCATATTATAAAAAAAAAATGCTTTTGTCCAACCTTTTAACACTATGAGATATATATGTCCTGGATAACCATTTTTCTAAAAAAACAAATAAAAACGGAAATTTCTAATGTAATAAAGTATTAGTATATTAATGGAGGGACAAGGATACAAGTATCCAACGAGAGAGTTGCCCATACATGTGAAAGTTCTATGGGTAAGAAGTATGAGGACAAATACAGAAAGGCAGAAGGGAAGCACAGAAGGAGACATAAAAAGGAGGACAAATACAGCAGATAAGGATCACGTCGAGACAGGGAAATACATTTTAAATATAAGAGGTCCACAGGATGACAAAAAGCCAAAGAAAAGGGAAGTAGTGATGCTGCAGAGAGGAGGAAAAAAATGACAGACCACAAGAGATGTGAGGAGACACAAATGACCAGACTGGGAGCAAGACAGACTGACAGGCAAGTAAAAGCTGTACAAGTGAGGCTGAGGGAGGTGAGGGAGGACAACGGAGAGGGGAAGGGGAAGAAAGATGGACATGGCAGCCATCGTCGCTCCCAGAGGAGACGTTATGTTCGCTCCGAGCCTGGTTCTGTCAGGCCATCCTTCTCTTCCTCCCTCTCCCACCCCAACATTGTCTGATCTTTCTGCCTTCCTTTCTCTCAAGACTGACAACATCCTTTTTTGTTATCACTCATGTTATGATCCAGACTGCTGCTCTATGCCACACATACATATACATTCATGTAATGGAAAAAAGACAACAGGCTGAGTACAAGCAACCGGTCAAACAATGATCTCAGCCTGAATACTGAGAAGAAGAAAAAGTGGATTTGACCTTTTTTTGACCCAGGGAAGTGGAGACTGTGGAAAAACCCAGATATCCAAATGCGCATATGGACAAAAGACTGAACAAAAAAAAAATCTGAGTGCATCTACATGAAGTGACGGAGCAGACTGTACTTCAGCATTAAGTGTAGATCCTCCAATGTTTACAGCAGGATGTTGCATATCTTCTAAGTGTGTGTTGTAATTTGCTTTGGAGCCATCTGTTGGGGCAGCTGCATAGCAGCCAGCGACTGAAAAAAAGCTGAACCACCTGAGAAGGGAGGTAGTCTCTGTGCTGGGGCTTGGAGCTTACTGTACAATAAAGAATGTGGCAAAAGGTGACAAACATAACCTTTTGGTAGGCACCACGAAGTAGACATCATTTTTATAATATTGGGATAAAAAAATGAAGTGTATTCAGTCAGGAAGTTTTTTCATCTCCAACTTTATATGAAGACATTCCTTCCCACAGGAGTAACTCCACATAATGGCTTTCATCCAGAAGAAATGAGTAATGATCATGCAGTCTCTGTGTTTCAAAGGTAATTTAACATTTTGGTGTTAATAACAAATACTATCAAGTTCAATATGTGTCCATACATAACATTGCTGCATATAAAACAATCACATTGTAATTCTTTAACTTTCCTAAGTTTTCAGTATCAGACTGCATCAACTGAGCTTCCCTACTAGATAAATCCTCCTCTATTCTCTCTCTCATCTCTATCGAGCGTGAAATCCTCCTGAAACAAGTTGATGTGAGGACAAAAATCACATCTGCTCCACATTAAGCATGTGCCCACTTCCCTGTGTATCTTTTCCCACAAAACACCCATATCTACATTTAAATAGCTTCCATTTTTTTTTCTCTATTGCAGACTGCTCTCTGGTAATGTACAAATATTAAATTTTTTCTCTCCCTCTCTTTTTCTGCATGCCGCTAAAAGAAGCACCAAAGTGCTATGCGGCTGATCTTTAAATATCTCTCAGGGCTGCCTGCATCCTCGCTCAAGCAGGTAAATCAACACTCAAGAGAGAAAAATCTGTCCTCAGTAAAGTAATTTCTACTGTATTAATTTTTATACCTTTGGGCTGCTTTCAGGTCGGGTGTGTAAATGTGTCTGAGAGCCCCTGGTGAATTGAAACCAAAGAGCGGAGCGGGGGAATCCTTGTACAATATGTAATCAATTATTCATGATATATGTTTACAGGAGAAACCACAAAGTTCCAACCGCAAGTAAAGCCATTTCCTGTGTAAAGATATGCATTGTAATTTAAAGTTAGGAAGATTTTTCTCAACTTCCAAAAAGAGGTTAATTTCTCTGCATCAGCTTACAACAGTTTTGAAATGTGTCCAAACATATTTGTCTATGACTGACTTCTGGTACCCTAGTTGGCGCTCTCTTTCCTGTAAGGGAAGAGAGAATAAAGAAACTGTTTCTGATTAATCAGGATGTGCAAAAAGGAGCTTGGTTGTGCCTTGTTACACTGCATAATCCTGTTTATCACACATTAGAGTAAGTATACCTGGTGGCAAACGAGCACTGTCAAAATTCACATATTACACCTGGGAGAAATGATGCTCAGGAAAACACATAGATTATACTGAAATTTACCGAAATCATCAGCCCCCTACATGTGAAGAGGTGTTTGAATTGATATTTCTACTTGTGGAATCTGGTTTAACATTGTGCTATCTTGTGCAACAACACCCCAAACTTTAATTGATTCCCTCCTTTGACCTCAGATCTCTCTGCAGTACTTACTACCTTGAACATTCCTTGAAAGACTTTCTTTTTGAAAAAATTGGCATCAGTCGAACAAGTTTAAAGCCCAAAATAGCATTGTGATGAATGATCAAGCAGAATTTATGAAGACAAATCAAATTGAGCTGTTTAATGAGTTTGAAAGATCAGCAGAGGTCACTACAAACATCACAATGCATTCAAAAAGAGAATCACTGAATTATATCCAGAGGCTTAATCAAATTATTCCTCACAGGGAAAACCATTTGTGACAGCAAAGGAGAACAGAATAGAAAGAGGGAATGGATTAAACAGAGGAAAATAACAACAAATGGACTTCTAGTGAGAATGATGCAAATTATATATTAAGATAAATTGATGAGCCTGAGGACACCTCGACCAGAGAACAACTTTTGTCTCTTCTGTGAGTCATGACTGGCAAATGATCAGCTGGGAGGTAGCGTTTTATTTTCACATCCTTTAAATAAGAAGCGTAATATATCTGTGCTCATGTATATGTGTGTCTATGTGTGTTGTGGCAGAGGGACAAATACCTCAGAGGTTCATGAAACATTAATGCTGCGTAGCCACTGGAACACTGCTTCACCTCGTGTGAGTATTTGTTATTGCCATGCATAGCCAAGAAAGGAACTACCAGAAGAAGTTATCCTAAAAAGACCAATGCATTTACATACACTGATTTACATTCAAGACTTAACTAGATCAAAAGACAAAAGCAACATTTTAAATACTGAAATTATCCTTTTATAAAGTTATTTTGGGTAGAAAACTTTGAGTGTGTTTTAATGAATTTCGAAAAGAATAAAGTCTATTTGTTATTTTCTGATTTCAGATACATAATTGCTGTGGCCATTAACAGTGGATGGTAGGGGTGTTAAACTAATTGCAAATTCCAAATGATACCAGATTGACACGCAACTGACGGATTACTGGCATTGACCCCTTTGAAGTGGAAGAAAACTCTGTGTGGCGAGAAATGTTTAGCTTTATGATTGTTGTAGCATTTACCATAGATGTTACTTTACCTTTGACCACTCTCATAAATGCTCCTCTTTCTTACATTGTGGCATTTTGCCAGTCAACTAAAGTTGTTATCAAATGTTCCATAAAGAGTTTCTTTTTTCTTTTTTCAGTATTATCCAACCCTTCCACAGTTCTTCCGTGTGAAATGTGCTTTAAGGTGCTTTGAAATGAACATCCAAATATTTAATATTTTGTCTAGCTTTTACTATTTTACATGGTGAAAGTAGCTTGAACAAGTTCTTTCACCGAAAATGATGAAACTAACAGCTTTTTTTTCTCATACAGCTTTCATCTACACACCACGGAAGGGATGTTCCTACTTTATTTCTGCCCTCCATCCTCTTCTTTATATCCCCTCTCCATTGCTAATGCTTACACGAAACAATAGAAGAGAAAAACATCTTCCTCTGTTTCTTTGTCCTCCCTTCATTTTGCTCTCAAAGGGATTTTCTCCTCTCCACTCTTCCCTTCCCTGTGGTTATTCCCCTTAGTGAAAATGGGTCACCTTCCCTTTTGTCAGGAGAATGCCTGGGTAAGGATAACCTCTGTATGTGTGTGCATGTGCATGAGTAGAGTTTTACTGTCTATTGGGGGTTCCATGCCTCAGAAAAGTTATGCAATGACCTTTTTTTGCGAGGCTAATTAGGGCCAAAATACAGTTTTAAGGGGTTTTGGTAACAAATTCCTACAGTGGTTATACTCCAACGTCTCTAAGTCCTCTTCTCTATTGCCATGTTTTAAGCATGGCTCTATTGTGTTTGATACTGATAAATTATATGATCTTTATAGTTGCCTAACAAAGCATCTGGCTGAGATACCTAACCCTGTGCATCGAAGTAAATGTTGGAGAACAAAACAGTTTTGTCACATTGTTGTAGCTGACAGAAAGCTCCTGATCTCAGGCAGCCTGCATGCACACAGCACTGGGTGGACTTTGAAGTGAGCGCATCGGTGCACATCAGACAAGATCTCAAGAGGGAAAAAAAGGGCTTTTCTCCGCACCTGAGAGAGCACGTGCTGATCCTCTGTTCTATCATCAACCTCTCAACTCTTTACTCTGAACATCACAGCTCTCTGGATGCACCGTTTGATATGTGCATGTTTGCAGGCATTATGACAACATCTGCAATGTGAGCGCCTCAAGCTGTTGAAGATAACAACATTGTATGGTGCCATACCACTCTGTAATCACAGTGTACTTTAGTATGTGGACCACTAACTAGATGCTGAAAATGAAAGAAATGGCCTACAAATGGAAATTTCTTTGAGAATGTCTTTTGATTGCATCAAGTCGTGTTGAGAAAAAAAGTTGCACACTAAGTTGTCATGATGTAAGACATGTGCTGTTACCTATTTAGATCTGATCTGATGTGTTGTTTGACAAAAAGGAAAATAGTTACCAACACTTCATATGCTGACTTGTCCAGACAAAATTTTCCCTTTTCTGTGAACTTTTAAAAAAGAACAACAAGATGATGACAATCTCAATCTCACACTGAGCGGTTTGAAACTGCAATAGTTTGGTGTGTGATAACACAGATTTCAGCACCAATATTAGAAAAATCGTCACATGGAGAAGCTTAACATTATTCAGATGATTACAAAGTGAGAGAGTCTACCACGCAGTCTTCCTGCAAAAGCTTTGGTAAACTCATGAAACCCCCGGAATTATGTCTGCATTAGCGCTTATGGGGAAAACAACACACCAAAATAAGGATTTAGAATGCTTGTGGTGCTCTCACATATTCTGTGTGTTCAGTCAACTGAGCTCAAGCAAATACAAAGTCAGCAGAAGAGTGGCAGTTTTTCTATCTGGACTGCTGTAATGAAACCACATATTAGGTCTTTAAAGGCCTCTGGTATCACAGTGGACTATGTGCTGACCGTACCGAAGTGTAGAGGTAGCCCTCACTGTTCATGGCAACGTAGAGCCCTGTCTTGGTGCTCTGGATGGCCACAATCCGGAGCCCCACAGGAATCAAGTTGAACTGCACTGAAAGACACGGAGAGGGAAGAGCAACATTAAAACAATCACTCATTACCTTAAACATTCATATTAATTTGTGACATACATGTGTTCACCAAAAGTTGGAAAAGAATGGAGAGGAGTTATATAAAGGAGGAAGTTTATCCTAATCACTGAGAGGTAATTCTTTGGGCTTTTGGTTTTCCTTCATCATGCTTTTATAAAGACTTGCTATCATTACACTTCACAAAGTGCATGGTGCATCATGGCTTGCCTTAAAACAAACACTAACAGTTACACACATTAAATGATCCTTCTTAACCTGTTTATGACACTGCTGTTGTCTCAAAAGTGAGACAATTTTGGACAAATGTATCATGACTGGAGAACAGTTTGAGCTAAATGAACATGGCTTGTTCTTCTTCTACTTTTTAAAAGAGCAAATGACTATTTCAAAGCCAGAGATGATGTTGGATTTCTTCTAAAGTTGAAAAGGGTTGTCGCTGGAGCATGTTTAGACCCACAACCTTGTTATTAGTCAAATCAATTTCAGATTGAAATTTCTGCCAACATAATGAATGGAAGCTTATTTATCAGGTGATGACACAAAGTCAATACTGGATATGATTAGAATAAAAAGAGAAAACTTGTACTCACTTTCAAATGATGAGATAGTTTCAAACTATCAAGATCTATGACACCTTTTTCAGGCAAAAACATTCACTTTGAAAAGCTAAATTAAAATGTTTCTTATTCTGCTAAACTTTCAAGCTTAGTTAAGCAGTTTACAAACTGCAGTAGGTTTAATAATTAGCAAACTTGTTAGTGTGTGGTCAGGTTCTCACTGTCTTCTCTTTTCATGCAGTTCTAATGTTAGCGCAGATTGCGAGGTGTGTCGTATCAAATGCTGGTAATGAAAACTGCACATAAATCCCATCTGTGCTCTTTCTCTCTACCTCACCACTGTGTCTTGAGGGCCTTGCTTCTATTTGCTCGATCGATCCCTGCATCTCAAACAGTCGGCTTCGCAAACGAACAAGGTGTCACCAAAGAGCACAGCCAGGATGACAAATAGAGCAGGGGACACACACACACTCAAACACTTCTTTACTTCTTCTCATTCTCTCTCTCACTCCCTCACAAGCAGTACATTAATGGCCTTGATGTTGACAACAGCATATACCTGCGGACAAGCTCACAAAAACACCATCCAACATGCACCAAATGTTCTCAATTATAAAATAAGAAACAGAGAGAGAACATTACTGAGGGACAGCCATATACTTTCCAAACTTGACAAATTGGCTGATATTTAAACCTCGGCAAAGTATAAAAGCAGAACAAAATTATAGACTGCTTTAATATTTGCCCTAAAATAAATCCATTTGTTGCATAGCTATTAAGCTAAAAGCAGCATAGCCATGACTTACAATTCAATTTAAACAATCTGATTGAACGCCATTTGTTTTTACTGTCAAAAACAACTCACAGTGGCAACCTGCGTACACTATACAAGCAAGAAAAGAGGTATGTGAACTACATAGTCTTCCATTTCAGACAAGACATAATTAGCAGTTATAAAGTTATCAGGAGTAAAGAGGATGGATCATTTGGCTACATACTCTACTTTGAATTAAATGCCTTTCTGACTGAAATGCATTCTTTTTACAACATGAAAGTTATCTTCATGATAAAGCTTTGCTGATCTATATGATTATATGTAAAGAAAATACACAGAGAGAAATCAAATGGACCTGCGTTTTGGAAAATGATCATGGGGACTTTTTTCTCACCTGGCATGATGTGACACAGGGTGCTAAAAGGTTGCCCTTTTACCACTGGTGGTGCTATAACCTCTAGAAATCACACAGACTAAAGCACAGGTATAACCCTCATGGCATTCGGTCATAATTATATTGATAATGGAAACATCCCATTTCTCTTCTCTCATCTCCCATCCCTCTTTATAGGCCTGCCCTTAGAATCGCTTCCTTTCCTTTGCTATGCAGAGTAGATTGTCGGATTAATCAAAAGCATTTTGAGGGTGGGAAAAGGAGAGGAGGGGGAGGAGTATGAAGGGGAGGGTGTCGCCAAATCAATCCTGCGAGTCAATTTTGGGACTCGAGATCATCAGCACAATAAATAAACAAGGGGAAATGGGAGATAGGATGAAGGAGGAAGGGGGTGGAGGAGCCCTGGGAGGCAGCGGCAAGACACACAGTTAGGGTGTGCAGAGGGCATCTTCAGGCTTACACACTGCGCTGCTGCTTTGCAGGGTTGTTTTGTACAGCAGATGGTCTCTAATGGAATGAGAAAAGGATTATAGTCATCTGTGAAACGTAACACAGTTTAACTTCCACACAGACGCTGGCTGGGCTGTCTTCGGTTTCCTGTGTGGGTGAAGCTGATCGGATGAGAGCATTGTGATTTAATAGTTGTTAAAGCTTCTGAAACGTTTAGTCCTCAGCGTTTCTTTGGCATGTTGAACAAGCTGGCAGACACTGTGTGAACGTGTTGATATGAGCTTGTCTTTTTAAAGTGGCCTAAGAACTGCTGGGTCTCCATATCAGCTAAATGATCTTCTCCTTGAGTTGGTCGAAATTACCCGATGCTAAAAGTTGTTCCCTCTGCTATACTGGTTAGCAGTGGCTTATCTCCCTCTCTTTCCCTCTTCTTTTCTTTTGCACAGAAAAAGGGCTTTTCTTGAAATGCAACACAGGACTGTCTAATTGGGAGCTTTGAAAGGATGGCCTGTGGGCTGCTTACAAATTTGACTGGTGAGCCTAGCATTTTATTTCTTTTTTTGTCTTTCTCTTTATAAAGCACTCCACTTTTTGTATTGGGGCTAGCAGCTTGTTTGAAGTAAAAAACTCTTTGAACTTTTGAAGATGGTACCTGTGTCATCAGTGTGACAATATTTCTGAAAAACGGCCAAGGATCTGTTCAAGTGTTTTTTTGTTTTTTTGGTTGAAACTTTATGATATGTCACACAGAAACAATCAGAACTACTTCAGGTAGTTAATGAATGCTTTGCATTCTACTGGTGAATGTCTTAGACAAAATATTCTTAATGGTGATGTATATTCTAACATGTGCAGCACAGAGCCGTCTTAAAGTAGTGGCAGTTGTTATTTATAGAGGACTTAGCATTTATGTTTGAATGGACACTCCTTACATTTTGCCATCTTTTGACATTGACGATGATGAGTTGCCATACCATGCAAGAGTTGTTTTCCATGTGAATGCAGTGAATTGAGCTTTTACCCCATTGAAATTGCAGAACGTTTATTAGAAAGGAAACCTAGCGTGGGCAGTGGTGTGGTGGTTAGCACCATCGCCTCACAGTAGGAGGGTTCCATGCCTCAGTTTGGAGTTTGCATGTTCTCCCTGTGTCTGTGTGGGTTATCTTCAGCTTCCTTCCATCATCCAAAAACCTGCATTTTAGGTTGATTGGACATTCCAAATTGCCTTTGGGAGTGTGAGTATGCATAGTTTTTCGTCCTTGTGTGTCTCTGTGTAACACTGTGATGGACTGGCGGACTGTCCAGGGTGTACCCCGCCCCTCACCCATTGAATACTGAGATAGGCTCCAGTCCCCCCTCGGCCCCATTAGGAAATAAGCCGTTAATAAAATGGATGGATGGAAACCTAGCCATGTTGGACAAAATTAAATGAAAAAGCAGGTATAAGAGGACATACAGAACAAGCCTTCATTTGACATTGGTAGGAAATATTAGATCCCCTGCAAACACAATGGCCAAAGTGTGGTATTATGTTTCACTGAGACTATGTTTCACTGGCTGCAGGAGCATATTGCAGACTAAAATATGCCTGTCTCCTGCTTTAAAATAATACTGGCTGACAGAAACATCAGGAGCAGTGGCTAAAGCAAAAGTAGAGGTATCACACTGCTTGTTAGCAACAGATGGTGTAATCATGAACATGTCACTGTGAAGAGAAGGATTTGCACACGGAACAGTGAACTGCTGGCTGTAAGTTTACATCTGTATTACCTACCAAGAAATTCTTCCTGTAGAAGTTTATTTATTGTCTGCAGTCACTGCCAGCACAGTCTGTGACATTATCAGACCTGTCAAATATCCCAGCACATTTAGAATGACTTCTGGAGATTTGAACAAAATCTTCCTCTCAGCTACACTTCAGACCTTTCAGCAGTATGTCAACTGCTCTACCACAGAAAGCAAAAGGTTGGACTTATTCTATGCTTATGTCAGAGATGCACACAGCTCCCCTGCTCTATCCCCACCGGGAAACCTACAATCTAGACCTCTGAACTTTCAAGAGGTGCAAAAGTCTGAGGATACTTCTGTTAAATACATTTGTATATGTGCTGTAATTTCATTCATTTGTGTGCACTTCCAGAATTATGGAAACCTAAATATTCAAGTTTTAGGTTTAAGTTTAGGTTTAAGTATGAAGAAACTAGAAAGCCTCAACCACTCTCTCACACTTCTTGTCAATATTTTATGCAAAACTTTTTCTCTTAGGGCACCAATAGGAGCAAAATTCTCCTCATGCTGTTGTCTCTCTCTGTTTATGCCTGATAAGGCCAGACCTTCAAAACAATCAGACTGGCCTCATAATAAGTGAGCTGAGTGATCAACAGCTAGCTCAGCCTGCCGACACTATAAATAAACCTCATCACAGCGACCTTGTGAAAGGGTCTTTAAGAATATTTTAAAGATTTTGAAATATCATCAGGTTACTCACACTGGAAGAAAAAAAAAATCTCATATGTTAACAGTGTGGGAAATGTTTCAGATAGTCAGGGATGTTGCAACAACATCAGGAATGTTAAATAGTGCGTGTGATCTGTGTAGAGATTTCAGTTATAAGTGAGCCAAGCATATCTCAGCTGTGTCAGTACTGCAAACGGTGAGAAAAAATGAAAACATGAGAACATGAACATCGATGTTCTTCTTTTTCCCAGTGCCACAATTTTAAGGCACGCACAGCTTCAGTTTGATAAAAAATGTTTGCTACTTAATGAGCTGTTGCCTCATATCACATATGATATGTTTCAGTATAAGATCTGAGGTTCAGCCTTTTAAACTGAGCTCACAGCACAGTGACATCATCGTGTCTTTAACTACACTTCTCTTGACAGGAAGGATTAAGATGTTATTATCTGCACTAAATTTCAATTTTTTTTTCTAAGACAAGGTTTGAGTGCTTGAGTGTTCATCACCACTCAAGCAGTTTAGCAGTAAGCTGTGTCACACTCCGCAGACTGCAAGAGATTTTCAAACATTTTCAGCAAATTTGTGATGGTAGAGTTATTACCCCCCAGCACCACAGACAGAAATCATTTGCCCAATGATGGCAGTATCATCAGGTGATTTTTATGACTGACTTATTTTCCGTAAGGCTGGAGCATTCGTTCAAATGGAGCACAGAGGAGATAACTCACCTCTGTGCTCAAATCCCGATGCTTAAGGGCACAGACATAGTTTTGTTCCCTCTAACACAGAGCCCAGTTTGAGAGGAATGAGTGTTTCCACTTAATAACAAATGGGTCGACACTGGGCTGATTCAGCGTATTGAGTAGTTTGTGGGGCAGGAAAGTATTAAATGTAGGACTCAAATCAATAAACAAAACCCTTGCACAGCCCTTGGGAGTCTGAAGATGTTATCTATCTCAATTCATGTCTGCCAATATTTAATATTAATGACATTTACTTAACATCTTGATTCCAATAAAGCTGCGAGAATTTTAAATTAAGTCTCCACCAGACAGCTCAGAGCACTGGGATCATTAAAATGATGCCTAAACTAATTAATAAATATCTGGGAAAAAAACAGTTGGATTTGTCACTTGTGCTGTAAAGAAATGAGGAAGTTTTGAAGCTCTGCAGCAGATTGAATTATTTCAAGCTGAGTTTCATGCATGATTTCCCCGGTGGTCGATGACTGATGACAAGACAACTTATTTCAATCTGCTCTTATTTAACTTCAATCTCTTCCACAGGCTCTCCTTCCCGTAACTGATAACTCTTTTCCTTTATCTGTCTTTCTTGCCCGTCCATCGGTCTTTCCCTCTTTACCCCGTCTCTCTATCCCCAGTGTCGTGAACGTGAACGAACCAACAATCCTCCTTGACATGAACGAACGTTCTATATTTTACCTCACTGTGTAGTATTTCTTCTATGTCTACCAATTTTTCTTCTCTATTTGTTCCCTTTCAGTTCCCCCGTTGCCTCCTGTCATTCTTTCTGTCATGTGAAACCAATACTTTTCCATCCGCATCCATTAATCACTTCCTTTTTCATCCCGCAGCTTCTCTACAGGATTCTCTTGTCTTCGTCTTGCATAGCTTCTCTTTGTTTGGTACTTTTCATGTTCTTCCCCTGTTTCTGCCTTACTTATTCTATTGCAGACGCAGTTATTGCTATTACCATTCCTTCTTGAAAGTTGCAGCTGCCAGACTGTGCCAAGTCTCCTCTTAGTGGCTTTTCAAGCACAGCCGTTTGAGTATTTTTTCTCTTTTCTCACAATGTATGACATACAAAGAAAGTTCCACAGCACTTAGAGATATAAGTAAAGTGTACCCTCCAACAGTGGGAAATGGTTATTATTGTAGATAAAAGTAAGGGAAACCAGTTCTGACATGTGCCTTCACAAAGTCCACATAAAGAGGTCAATAGTTTTCATCTACTTATCTTTTCTCTATTCTGTCCTTTTTTTTCTGTCCTCACTGAATTCTGCTCTTTTTCTGCCCCATTCTGGGATTTTTCTTTCTGGCTTTAAAAACTCTTTTGGAGTCCACACCACTCCTGGTGTTACTCATCTATTACTCAGTAAACATATTGTCACCCCTTTGTTTTTGTGCATTTTTAATGATCCTTCTGCTCTTTTGAGACCCGAGACACTGGTTGTGTTGCCTGTCTGCTATTTGTCGACGTTATCGCTGGTAACCTCTTAACTTGTGAGGCCAGCATGATAATTGCAATTTGTAACTTTCTCTTTAATCCAATAATGACATTTGAGCTTTTGATACCCAAGCTTTTTTCTTCTTCAAAATATTGTAGGATGGATTTTAATTAGTGTTTGACTGGTTTAAAGTAACCTGAGTAACCTGTACCTAGATAAATCTAAACCCACTCTTCTCTTTCATACCCCAGTTCTCGTCCAATTTTATTACATAACAGCCCGGCAGAGCCAAGAACAGGGAAGGAGAGAGAAGGGGAGAAACAGGGCAAGGGGAGGGGGTGTCAGGTCCTCTGACCTCCCACCAGAGGGGGGAGACAGAGTGATTGAGCAGCCATCAGCTGAATGCCAGCTGCTCCTCCGTTAGTTGTACCCTACTTTCTCTGAGTCATCTCCATTTCTGTTTCCCCTTTACTTCTCTTACCCATTGTGTATGATTGGCCCCCCTCCCTTCCCCTTTCTCTCCATCCCTTTCTCACATTTTGCTTTAATAGATAGTCATTTCAGTCTTTTGACAGCTATCACCTAGTTATGGTAGCCCCAAGGGATCTTCCATAAAAAAGTGACAAAACTATAGAGGGGCCTTACAAAAGGCGAAGATGTCCTTTTTCATTATATTCCCTTAGGGGTACACCTACCTTTTGGTTTTTTCTTCCCTTACTTCACTGTTTTTGCCCTCCTGAATAATTTTGGTCCCTATAACGGCGAGGTTAAGGCAGGTGCTGCAAAGCTTTGCATTTTCAGAATAGAGAAGACATGAAAGAGCCATTCCCCTTAATGGGCCTCACTCTTTTATCCTACAGGTCATTGGTTTTTTGTTGGCTACATGAGGTTGCAGGTCTATTTGTCTCTTTTTCTGTTGTGTTCATTTAAATTGATCAGCGTCATCGTTGGCTGTTGGAGCTGTATCCTCAGATGTGAACTCCTCTAATGGTTCTTTTAATTATTTATACCATTTGTGATTGATTGCCCTATTTGGGTGCTCCTGTTGTACACTTACACTGTATAGAACCTGATGACAATATTACGTAGATTTCATGCCATGGCACCGATGACAACTTCATAAATAAATTGAATTAGAGTTCAATAATAAATATGAATAAAATGTTCTCTGTTGGTTGTAAAATGGGGAAATTCCAAAGTCTGCATCTTTTTAAAACATCACACTTTCTTTCTAATTTCCATTAGGAATAAATGTAATATATTCATATATTTAATACAATCAGTGCCATGGCACAATGGCTAACCTTTTCTGAGTGCATTGTCCCAGATTTTCAAATTCTTAAGCAAATATTGTAAACAGCCATTATTTGAGGAAATGTGGCAAATTACTAAATAATCTGGTTCAGGCAATCAGTGAATAATTTATAAGATGTGTGGTCTTACCTGTCAAATGCCTATATCAGGCTGTAACTTGAGAATGCAAAGAACCAATGAAACTTTACACCACATCCTGTGATTGATGGAATTACAGTTGCTATAAAACGAAGCATAAGTCAGACCCACGCAAACACTTGGCAGGGTGACCTCCGCTCACTGATGTTGAATACTCTGCCATATGAGAAACACTGTTACACAACAGTCTTTACACCTGTCTGGAAATGAGCCCTGTTCGCCTTCGGATGTGCCCTGTGGTATTATGTGATGAATATTTCAGATTGGACATGGGAATGTTTAAAGTTCAACATGTGCCTGTGTTAGCCTCAGCGTAGGCGTGCTGTTGCATAAGAGACAGAGTTGAGAGCAGGTCTAAACAGTTACCGTGGCGCTTTCTGGAGGTGTTTAACTAAACAGCTGGGTCTGATAGAATTGTTACGTGAGGGTTGTCTCAAGATGTTTTACCTCTCAATATCCAAAGACGGATTTTGCCCAAACACTGCCAGGTGTCTGATGAGCAAAAACAATCCTGCCTGTGGGTAAGCTTTATGTAGGGATTCTAATTAGGACATTATGACAAATAGTGTTTAAAAACACCTCAGTGTAACAACTACATGATTCCAACTGCGAGCAACCATTCTGCTACAAAATACCAGCATCATGATAAGATGTTGAAACATAAACTGTGTCCCTCCTTTTCTGTGGACTGTAAATATGACATTGTGCAAACTGTATTATTTCCATCAATACAGGCGTTTTCGGCATAACTGAGTAGTGTGTTGTAGCATAAGGGATATCCCATAATATAGTATTGATCTGTTTGGGAGGCTTGGAGAGTCCGGAGGCTTTGGATATTATGTTTTCAGGTAGTATCACGCAGGTGATGACCCATTGCGGGGTCAGGTAAGGAATGATGATGTGTGTGCTTGTGTGGAGATTATGCTGCTGACAATGACGTTTTTTTCAAACCAATGAGCTGTAAGTCTTGAGTCAAATCCTTAGTCAAGTCTTTTGTGGTGTTAAAAAAACTGTAAGAATCCAGCAGCAACACGTTGAGAGCTTACAATCACCATGAAATGATGCAAAAGGTATCTGTGGCTCAAGTTTAGAGTAGATTTGTTCTTCTGACAAACATCTATGAATATCAATGTCTTTCTCCCTCTCTCTCACACACACAAACACACATGCACACACACACAGGGGGAAATGTCTCCACTTTAAAACCATTTTTTTTACAATGATTCATGTAAGCATAAATTCAGGATGACAGTGAACGAACTAATTGAAAAACATATAGGAAATTATTTGATTTATTATGCAACAAGAACAAATCCCACTTATCTGAAATTCATCTATGATACATCTTGCCAAGTGTTTTCTAGTTTGAGCGGATCAATGCAGAATGCATGAGTTGTCCAGCCGTCATGTGCCATTGGTATGTTCAGATTTCTGCCCTAACGCGCAAAACAATAATAAACGCCTTCGAGAACCACACCGCGTGTGAGTAAGTGCTTTTTCTTTTTGCTTACAGAAGGAGCTGCTTTCGTCCTTTGTGCCTTCCATGGTGCCATCCGGAAGCATCTGGAGGTAGAAGCCGTGTCTGCAGTAGAGTCGCGTGACGATGCCCTTCAGCTGCGGCTCTGCAGAGGAAGCGCAGCACACTTTAGCGTGGGGAAACACGTGTACACACTTTTCATGTGACACATATTCCTACACACTCTTACCTGGGAGCAGGCGCACAGAAACAAAGGGTCAAGGGCTTAATGTTTACTCTGTGACAGTCACAGTCACAGCAGGCAAGTTTATTTGTACAGACAATTCAAAGTGATTTACAAAGAAAGAAAATGAATCAACTAAATCAATTAGATAGATAAAAAGTAAAGGGTGCAGATAAAATAAATTCTGTTTCCAGATGCACAGTTAAACAGAACCATTTTCAGCCTGGATTTAAACATTGTCAGAGTTGGGGCCTGTCACTTCTTCAGGAAGACTGTTCCAGATTTTAGGAGCATGGAACTGAAACGAAGCCTCACCTTGTTTAGTTCTGACTCTGGGCACCATCAAGAGTCCAAACTGGTTCTTATACAATAAACAACAATAAAATGTGCAGTTTTATATATGTGTATGTGTGTTTGTCAGTGTAACTGGGGCCTTCCGCTGGACTGATCGGAACTCAGATTTAGCACAAAAAATATTTTATTCACAGGGGAAAGCAATGGATGTAAGTCAACCTAATAATCTATTTATTTAGCATCTTGTTTCTACATTTGTCAGTTGTGTTTGAAACTATGGAGCTATGTGGGTGTTTGCAGCAGCTACCTGTCCCTCTATAAGGATGTGAACACTTTCAACTTGAGTTGGAATGTGAAATAACTCAGGTCACATAACAAGTTGGCTATTGGAGGAATTTTCCAGAAAAAAAAAAAGAAACACTTTGCAGGATTGTTCTTTATGGCTCTTTCACTGCCAGATTTCCTTCTGTTAGAAGTAAGGACAGGGAAGTTTAGCACTGGTGTCTATGCTGCACAGCAAGCAAAAACTGCTGGCTCCTTATAAAGGAATGTTTTGATAAGAGACACTAAAGACATGATCAGGGGCATATCCAAATGCTGAAGCATTACATTAAACATGGATGAGGGCTGAGTGGTAAAGGGGAAGCTGCCTCTGGTTAATAGAAGATAGGTGTGCACGTGTGTGAATAGCAAAAACCAGAGGTGCTCGCAAGAGGTTATTCTGTCATAGCTGCATTTTGCATTAAATTAATTTAAAAGGCTCCTAAATCACATCCCAAAAGATTATTGTTTTTCTGATGCCTAATTACACATTATGTAACTTGAATATCAATATTTGTCTTTTTACCATCTCTCCTGGTCATGATCAAGTTTCAAAGATGTATTGTCTCTTTAATCAAGAGCTGCAAGACCACATATCCATGAACTTTATGAATTTCAGGAACTAGCCGAAGTGATGGTCTACATTTAAACCATCATGTCCGTATTAGTCAAGGATTTTGGGGTGTAATCCTCATTTTCATGCTGACAGTGTGACACAACATATTTAGAAGCTTTTCGAGGCAGACTCTGGCCTCTGTACCGAGACCAAATCGCTGTAACTACTGAAAGATAAGAGCTCATTCATTCTTCACTGGCTGACTAGACGCAGAAGGTCAGACATGGAGTGTGGTAATCTGTTATACCAGGAGTATTAATCTCAAATTAAGCTTCAGACCACACACCAGGCCATGTGCCGCTGAACACATTTGCCACTGCGCACATCCGAGCCCAGCAGCAAACACATGGACGGGCGGCTGGTATTGACCTTTAGCGAGACTCCGCCTCTGTGGAGCACTGTTTGGTAACGGTGCTGTCACACAAAACTAACAAAATGCTTCTTGGATACAAGGTCATGCGCGATTACTGGTTCAAAATACTGCATTCAGACAGACATATAGACACAATGAAAAGAACAGTTCTCCTGAGCTGCGTAAAAACAGAAAAACTGCCAGCACTCCCACCCGGGGCACGGTGGTTGTTAAACATCCTGTGTGCTCGCAAACACACGTATTAACACAGATCCAGAGGGATAGCAATGAATGAAACCGAACTCATCAGCCATTTCTATAAACTAGTATACATGTGTTCCTCAGGAAAAAAGTGAGCAAACTCAGCCAAGTTACTGAATATTTTAGAGGGTTGTAACTCTGCTGATGTGAGACTTTACTCCATGAGGGAAACGAAGGCGTCTGATTACATACTAATACACATTATATATCACAAACCCAAGTAAATTCAGCAAATAATTTCAGAGTAGAGACACACTGACTTTCTGAAGTGTTGCAAATGAACTTTGTTACAGTTCCATCACAGAGACACCAGACACAGCAGGGAGAAATAAACGGCTATAAATGAGGTGATACGCGCAGTATTTAAATGTACATTAAATCAAAATATGTGAATATAGAGAATCAGTAAAAGGCGGGCTCCTTTCTGAAGCTAAGACCCTTATGGAAATCGTTGGTAAACTGCCGACAGCTGTTTGCTGAGCCACTGATGAACTAGCAAATGATTCTAAAAGCTTTAATGAAGTAGAAGTACAATTATGCCATTTAGCTACTGACAGCACAACTTTGGCTTTCTGACTTAACTCATCTTGTGTTTAGCCTCAGTAAAGTTTGCCGAAAAAACACATAATTTTTAGGTATAATGTCATTTATGTGGTGATATTTAACAGTCTTAAAATTATGTGGTTTATGTCCAGACTATTTTCAGGGATTTTCATACCCAAAGTTTGATTCAGAGATCTGCTTGCCTCCCTGACTGAGCCTGTCCTGATCAACATTTTTTCAGTAATTTTGAAAGATTTCCAAGCATGCAAAATAAAACGTAAGGTAGTAAAATGGCAGTCCTTCAACACTTTTAGAAATACTATAAAAATGCACAGCTCCTGGCAGTTTTTTGAGCCCTACTCTGGGCTATTACGATAAATCGTTAAGACTTTTCCCTCCAACGGAAAAATAGGGTCCAGGTGACTGGGGCTAATACATCTGGCCTGAGGCCAGTCTGGGGTTTATTTGACTGCCTTTTAAAAAAGCTCATACATATATTTTACACAATTTAATGCTTAAAGCAACACTAAAGGAACAATGTATACTGCTGACTCATTTTGAGGTACAATTACTTCTTTGTACACATTCTCTTGCCTCAAACTGCCCGGAGGATCGAGTGGAGAGATACTGCAGTCAAATTTTAGTTTCTAGCTCTGCGCCACACTGGTTTGTTTTATGATCACATTATTTTTTTTCATGGGCATTCAACTTTGTATCATCTTCAGCATGGGCCAAAATGTACGTATCTGCAAATGTACAGGGCATTTGCAAAAAAATACATCTTCTTGACATTGGTGTTTTGTCTCACAACTGCAGAAAATAGGCATATTCTCTTATATTACTTTATACTACTAGTATACTACTTTTAATTATACATAAAAAAGATATTTGGCCTCCGACTGTAAATATAAGCAGCGGTGTCCTGGGAATGTGTCAGCTTTAATAAACAGATTTTGTGGAACATATCCCTGAACACAAGAGCATGTGGTAGTGTGTGAGAGGAGGATTTAGCTCATAATCCTACAGAAATTCAATGCCAATTATGGAGTGACCTCAATAAATACTGGGATTAATTTCACTTATTATAAATTCTAAGTCACCCTGAACATTCTGCCTGCCTAATATGAGATGACAAGTGGGTTAAAACTAATGTTATATTCACCCCTGATTCAGTACCTATTCTTAACCTAACTTAATCTAACTGTGTGTGTGTGTGTGTGTGTGTGCGTGTGTGTGTTGGTAAACCACAACTAAATAGGCTTGGCTAGTGTTGTGTGCAAGAAGTATGTATATGTGGAAAAAGGATGGATGGAAAGTGTTTGGATGTAGATGTTTGGTAGATGTAGCCAAACGCATATGACCCATTGCTTGGCAAATATCTGATTTGTAGTTCAACATCCATTTCTAAACAAAAACAAAACAAATAACCATATTTGGACAAGAGGGTGGCGCTAAACAGAAATGTTACTGACTGGATAAGAATATAGACATATGAGACCTAATATCTATTTAATAGTTATTTTTAAAGAGGACCAGTGCAATAATCAGAAGAATCAGACACTTTCTTTGGAGGAAAATAAAATTGGGAAATTTCGTGTTTCATGGAAAAAAATAAATACTTTTTTAATGTGAGTCAACTGGCTCCAGGTATTTTTTCAGTTGGGGCTTTGTGGTAGACAGGGATATAACTCACCCTGAAGTTGACATGTGTCATATTGGAGGAATTTTCCCAACACAAAGATTTAAGCAACTCTGACTTCAGGTTGATGGCCTGGTCTCCTACCGGAATTAAAGGATTTGCTGAGGAAATCTGGGTGAACGAGGTCACCTTCAAAAGTCTAAGGGAGGCGATACCTTGAATGGTAAAGGCTGTTCAGGCCCAAACAGGGAGGCTGAATTGTAAGAAGGGGATAGTGCATTTTATGGCTTCATAAACTTAATATATAACAAATATAGATAAATATGTGCACTATGACACACAATATTAAATTTCAAAAACCATCATTCTGATATGAAATAAAGTTGTTTTCTGTTCCTGTTCACATTTTAAACCTTTGATGTAGCAGAAGCATACTGATTCTGTAGCCTTGTACTTGAAACAACAGCTAAGGTCATTTTAGATTATTCAAAATTCAAGGCTTCTCAAAACGGGGCTCTTGGTCCAGCAACCAACACGTCAGTCCATACTGAGGCAAACCCTTGTTAGTGAATACAAATATCCTGAAGCCTCACTGAGGACATTCCTTTGGACACAGTGAACGTCGTTGCAGCTTACATTAACCTGGTACATTATTTCTTGACTATTGGTGCAATGCTATACTTTTCAGAAAAATCAGTGCTGCCTGTCATAGGCCTCTTAGGGAACGACTCTAAAAATTGTATTTCTATTCTGCTCTCTTTAAGTTGTTTCTCAATCGAGTCTTCCCCATTATCTTTCCCCTACATTGCTCTATGATTTGCCTTTTTCCTGCCCTTTTTTCTTCTTCCCTCAATTCTCTCCTGCTTTTTTTCACGTCTCATTCCGAAAACTGCA